CCCTATTACTAGGGTACGTGTAACTCGGTTACATTGTCTATCCGCAGTATGAACTAGGAGCACGAATTGTACGTACGTGCTCGAACATTCAATAACAATTGCAAATGATCTTTTCTCGCCAAAAAACAATGTCCATTGTCTACCTAAACACTGTACATGGGAACAGTATTCTATACATGTAGATCGTTGCGCTAATCAAAGACGTAGAGCGCTTTGCCTGCTCTACTCGATATAACAAAGAAAGCAGTGCGTCTTAGCCACCTTAGAGTTATCCCATTATGTTGCGGTGCCAAAACGTGCAACAGAGTGCTGACCAAAGGGCCAATGCTTACATTTTTTAAGTGACGGAGTGGAATATAAGCAAGACTTGAAAATCGTGCTGAACTTATCACTCGACAACGTGTCAAAACGTTGCTGCAACGTATTATATCGATATTAACAAATTCATCTAAAATTTGAAAGAGTGTAACAACTAACAGCCACGGACTTTTCGGACAAGGGCGACGGGCTATGCTAGCCTGGCAGCGTCTTCAGAGCTTCACTTGAAGTCTTTTTTTTCGACACTTGGCACATGAAGAAAGCTGGGATGCACAGTGAATACAAGCAAAAAAAAGTTGACATTTCTAATCGTAACATCCATCTTTGAACCGGATTTTTATAGGGAAAAGGCATTTATAGTGCAGAAAATGATGATGTTCACAAACTTGTCATTTTTTAGAGCAACAACTTGAACCAAAGGCTAGAAATAAATCGAAAACTTTACAACTGACATATGTATTTATTCCTGAAGTTGATGTAAGTACCAGATGGTGTAGCGAAGCGAAGAAGGCACTTGACTCATATCACCGATGTTTATACATAAGAGACACTGAGATCATAGCTAATTACTGATGCATCTAAAGCATTTTGATCGACTAAATTCTTCTGAAAAATGCTCTCTTATAGCAGAATTACGTGACTATCAATCATCGTCGCTGAGGTCGTCCACTGGATTCCCATGACGCTTTTTTTCAAGACGCGAAAAAAATCTTTCTCGTTTAAAAGTCCATCTCCATCACAATCTGCTTCATCAATCATGTCATGCATTTCTTCATCCGTCAAAGTTTCGCCTAGTTCGGTACACACACGCTTTAAGTCTCGTAACAAAACTTTGCCCGTGTCACCATCGTCATAAAGGTATAAATCTGCATAATTTCTTCACGTGGTTCTCGTGAGTTCTAAATTGACAAAAAATGACTTGAGTCTCATATTTTGTGTATGTACCATTTTACCCATCATCTGTTCGGTAAATTCATCAAAATGATCGTCTTTGACTCGTCCTTACCAATAACAATAAATCATCTGATGGATTACCGCTTCAATGGTACTGCTAGAAGCCGTTTCAAAGAGACGGAAAGCTTCCTTCACCTCTTCTGGATCCTCGTTATCCAAAACTTTCTTATCTGGCTTGGGCTTGCGACGCAGCACAGCTCGAGACCTTGCAAAAGTTGAAGCGGACATGGTACTTGACTGCAATAAAAATTACTCGTACCAACAGACAAAGAGCATGGAGAATTTGCCATTTATTGTGCTTAAAGGTGATACTAATATAAGGATGAATTTCCTCGACTTACAATTTTTAGGTAATCTCCCTTGTTACTTTTCTTATTCAATTTGCTTCATCTGTTGGGAAACAAGTCCAAACATTATTGGATACGAAATGGAGGATCACATTCCAAGATGTCATGCACAGAATCTTTTTCTCCGGCTATCTTTGTGCTTAAAAAATTCTGAAGGCATGAGGCAGATTACAATGTCAACGTTAAAGACGTACGACACGAATTAGCATCCTCATTGTAGCAATGGCAACAGCTTTTGTAGCAGCAAAGTATTGCAGCGTGCCGTTCAGAATATGCATTGAAGTGCAAGGTTGAACTGTTCCGTGATGACCACAGGGGCTGGATGTGCATCGATTGATATTACGAGCACAAATAATGAACACGAGTGTGCTTACTGCCGTATATCTTGATGCGCATATACTCGCAGCTGCTCACTTTTTTCTACTCCAGACCAGAGTGATAACATGCATCATCTGAATATTGCAAGGTGCTTATTCCAGGTGGTTTTCCAGCACGGTCTCTATAACTCTTAAAGTTGAGCAACAAACTGTCGCAAATTGACATGATCTTCGCCTGATGTCTTCATTTTTAAACTTTCTTGCCTCCAACAAAGCTAAGCATGAAGCTTTCCGTCGCCTTCACGTTTGTTGCTGTTACCGTCACGTCATCTTGTGCTACTGCCTCTGTTGACGATAATCACCACGAAAGCACCATCGTTCTTCGTCACAATGCTTTGCCGTGTAATGATGCACTATGCAATGATGACAACGCTCCTGTGTGCGGTTTTGACAACAAAACTTACCCCAACGCGTGCATCTTTCAGGCGACTAACTGTCGTACTAATGTCACGATAGCTCATTTGGGGCCTTGTCGTGACAAGTTTGTGGATAACCAGCCGGTACACTCGTCAGCATCAGCCACTTCATTGAACGAGAAAACGCCTTTGATTCGCGACCGCACTCATTCAGCTAACGAAGAACGGGCTATGTCTGAGATTGCAGAGCACATAGCTGAGAATGGCATCAAACCGTTCGACCGTTCCTTAGTGGATAAAGTGAAAGGATTTGATCAATGGGCTATTACTAGTGATTTTCTATTGAATAATGGGGTTCATCCCTCTACCTATCTCCAGGTAATTTATGACAAATATGTCACCATAGATGCGAAGATCCTTGGAATTCTCAAGTATTACTGGAAATTGACTACATCAAGACGAAGATCGCTAAATCGAAACGAACAAAGAGCTAGTAAACTCATTTTTGGGCTTGATAAAGAGTCAAAAAATTTGTATTTGGATTATCTCAATAAGTATCAAACAGCACGTGGTATTATAGCTCCCAAATCTTGAGGTCGTAGCACCATTTACTCAGCTAGTGTATGTGCTCCACTATAAAAATAAAGCATTAGTTTTTTACCTTTTGTTGAAATGTTTTCGTAATCTATGCGAACATCACCCATGACTTATACCGTAGACATACTATAAATTACAATATCTTTACCCTATAATATGACTATTTTAAACAATTTTTAAAATATATTCTTAACTTTTAGACAGCGTGGCTGCTGTCTCATGTTCTCTCCGTCAATTCAGCAATATTTCTACCCCTACTTTGTCTGTCCACGTCGCTTCGCTCGCCATGCTGCTCGCTTCGGCTAATAAGAATCCAAACCTGTCCCTAGCCCTTATAGCCGAAGCATCATTACTATTTGGTGGTAAGTTCTGTGAGATGATATTTTTTTGGAGATTTGATGTGGGTGCTTGATGTTCTTTCGCAATGCTCTCGGTCAAGAGAAGAAAATTTTCCACTTCGGATCAACTTGATAATTACCGAGCCCAACTTAAATAACAACACTTGATTAACAAACGTACGTTCGTGTCTACAGAGGTCTTCCATGGTTATCTACATCTCTGGCTGCCAAATATTTTCAGATCTAGTCGTGGATCTGAAAAATAAGTGACTTACAATAGAGACAAATTCTACCAACATATATGTTTTTTTTGTGTAGAAAGAACAAAATAATACTCTCTAATATAGGAATATTAGTGTACTACATGTAAATTACGCAAAGATATAATTTCGTATTGTGACGATCCAGTAATGGTAGCTGCATCCATAAAGCACATGTGTCAGAGGTCAATGTCCACGTTTAAAGCGTACGATAAGAGTGAACACCGTCTGCTTATCATTGGTGGCAATGGATTTGTCGGCAGCAATATATTGCAGCGTGCCGTTCAAAAGGGCATTGAAGTGCGCAGCCTTAATCCATCGGGAAAGCCGCAGTGGCAGGATGTGCCTTGGATTGATAACGTGGATTGGCACATGGGCAATGTATTTGACAAAAATCATTTAGCAAAAGCTGTCGAGGGGGTCACAGGAGTGAGTACGTCTAATTTACAGACAGTTTGTGATCGTAAAACATGTTGTAATTCAAACATTGTATGACAGTCTCAACCGTAGGCGCATTTGGTGACAACGAGTTCATGGAAAAAATGTGCGGTGACGCCACGATCGTAGCTGCTGAAGCAGCGCAAAAAGCTGGAGTAGATCGCTTTGTGTTTGTCTCGAATTCTCGCGTGGGATCATGGTATCCGTCTTGGCTGCCGATTTACGGCTACTATCACGGCAAAGAGAGAGCTGAAGCTGCCGTACGGGAAAGGTAAGAGCAAATACATTTGAAAGAATCTGACTTACCGCATATAATAAAGATTTCCTGACACGGGCGTCGCGCTACGTCCGGGCTTTATCTACGGATGGCGACGCACGAAAAAGGGACAAGGAATTCCGCTGCAAGTATTCGGAGCGCCAATGTCAATGCTGGGACGTGATCTTGGCGCGGTGTCATCTGTGATAAAGGTCTTGCCATTTATTGGCGATGAATTTCAAGCTGCGATCCATGTTAGTGCTGTTGCAAAGGCTGCAGTGCTCAGTGCAATCGGTCCGGTTCACGAAAGAACATTGGATACGATGAGTATGCTGAAACTCGCTGATTCATTTCATCTTCACGAATAAATTTAACCGAAACAGAAAGCACATCAGTGAAAAAAGGCAGGATGTAATGGAAAAACATACGATTGGATTTTGTGCCTCTTAAAAGCTTCTCGCAGCGTGATTAGTCGTAGAAACTTAAACAAATAACATCGCGTGTTAAAAGTCATGCTCCACCTTGGGCAAATACCTTCCTCATCAGGTGATATTCCTACGCGATTGTAGACTATCTGCAATAGCAATGCCAGGATGGCAATGTAATATGAATGGGGACAGATCATCAGCATCGGCTAATTCGAGATACGAAACCAAATTTTGGCTTCGTGACTGTGCTCATTTAGACGCAGCTGACAAAGAACGAGAAACTACACTCAAACTTGGTTCTGATCAACTCTCTAGCGTTCAAGTTAACAGTCACGGTACAAACTGCTTGTAATTAGACCATGCCATCGCTAATTTTATGCTCTAGGTTGCAAGTTCGGTGCGAGTTTAGTTAATTCAGCGCTACCGACGAAGACGATAAAAGTATTAGCGTCGGTTTTTGGTATGTTCGTCTTCATGAGGCAACTTCCATTCCGTGAATTTCCCGGATTTAATCTAAGCTTATGAAGACTTGCATTGAGTCAAGATTTTCTTTCGCATCTTTTTCAAAGTGAGCAGCTGCCGTCAGCATACGTCAAAAAATTGCCAGCATCGACGTGACATGTACGACTTGAAAGACTGATTGTTTAACGGTAACACTTCTTCGAGGCCACAGATATTATCACCCCGATTGAACGACCTTACCTGAGTTACTTGGAGTTTTTCTAAGAAATCAGATGAACCTTGAGATGTGCTTTCTACAATCCAAATGTTTACCACATAATTAAGCCAGTCATGACTTAACCATACGCTTTTCTTGACGTGTAACCTATAATGTGGTGTACGCAGCGAGGTTGGTAGGTGTTAACAAGCGCACAAAGGTTCTACGAATGCGAAATCGAGAGCCTTTACGGTTACTAAACACCAAATACAAAATATTTTATACTTACACACTAAGACTGTGTATGGCTTAACCAGTACGGACATTTCCTACTTCTAATGTCGTAAGCTTCAATAATTATGATACTATGGCATCTCTGAAATTCGAAAGTGCAAACATTGTACAGTACCAAATTTGTACACATAAGACTACAATACAGATGATACGCACGAATTAAACTATTATCCGGTTAGAGCTCATTTTACCTAAGGACTGTTCCAAAGGAGGGAGGTTTAACATAATCACGAAGAGATTCGTGAAACGCGTGCGCCATTCACCTCACGTTATGGAATACGTAAGATTGTAGTATTGTGTAGTAAGATATACAAATTTACTATGTGTTTAATGTGACCAAACTGTATATATACGTCACTCTTGAGATTGAAAGCCTGTTTACTTCGCATCTCTCGATTTCGATCCTGGATGACGCGTACAAATCAACCTTTTTGTGTTGATTCAAGCGATTATTTAGGTCAAAGCCACGACGGTGAAAGGTGCACGGCAACCCCTTTAGAGCTGGTAAAACTTATCGTCATTTCATCTGGATACGACTGTATCAAAAGGTGTTTGATCACGGGGTGTTTAACTATATGTCCTTGGAAAGTAAGACACACTTACTCAGATTCTGATTCTGCCGAAATTTCATCCCGAGAGGAGAGCGCAGTTTGCGATCCAGTGGCTGGGAGTGGTGATCGCTCACATCGATGATCTTACCTAAATCGATTTAATGAGCCCCTCTAGAGCACCTCAGTATGCGTCGTTTGGCTCCACCGTAAGGATGCTTTGCTAAGTATTATGTCCTTTGCGGGGTATGAACTGCAGCGGGGTGCCGTAGCTCTTTGCTTAGAGGAAGCTAAGCTAAGGTCACTCACCTAACGTTTTTTTGCAAGAACCAGTACTAGCGTAGCAATCCGCTACCTCCAAGAATACTTAAGAACCTTAACCAAGGCAAAAGCACTTTTTCGATCAAAATATAAACTGTACTTGATTGTTGTATTTGCGACAGAGCTGCCTATTTTTCAAACGTAAGTCTTCCTAATCAAATAGTAAGGCCTAATTAATATGCATAACTCTCTGTTTCCAATAATGATGAGGATGAGATAACAACAAAATTGGTTATGTTCCAAACGGCGAACTATGTCCAACTTTTGAGGAATTTATTGCTGCAATAGTAGCAGATCATCTCCCGGGGGTGTTAGCAGTATCCACCTTGTTGGTAGTTTTTTGATCAAGTGCAGATTGCACTCAGTCCTCCCGAAGTCACGCGATCTCTCAAGAGAAAGCGATGCATATTGCACGAAAGCTGAGCACAATTGTATTCAGGGAGGGCTTGATGAAGTGGAGGGGGGTAGAGGCTCTACGATCACGCAAAGCTTCGTGGTACTTACAGAAATTATATCTATGGTAACACCCACCGTCATCGCCCTTCGTGTCCCCGTTCCTGAGTTGAAATGAATCAAAAGATCTTATCTGTACATGTATATACTCTTTTTAGAACGGCGGAGCTCACAGCTAGACGTACTTGGTGGTCGGCATCGATGTACTCGACGTTGTGAAGCTATGTTATGCTCTGGTATATCCAAGGTGTTGTTTATTCACGCTGGGGAACTGTCACGAAGGATATGATGGAAGACAATGATAATGGCGAATACTGATCCGATCTCTATGCGGCTATCCCACGGAACATGTCAACGATTCTAATAAACACTTTTTTCAGTCTGATGATCTGAATTGCATGGAACGCAGTCCGGCCCTCGATTAAAGATACAATTTTATCCTCGTATGTTGTGGCTGGAGCGCAGCGAGCCATATATAGAGCGGAGGTCGAAAAAAGTAAAAGACCACGTGCCTCTTTCTTGATGTCGCTTCGGTGTGTCATTAATTCTACTCTGCTTGAAGCATAAGCACTCTAGGTGGGAATAAAGATGCAATTGCTTTGGTTCAGGACATGTAATCGCAGAAATGAATAGCCAAATGTGTTTAAACAAAGCTCAAACTGCAGAAGCGGCAGTAGCTACGGTCACAAGATGAGAGGAGAAGTAGCGATCTTTACGTGCTGTCACCAAAGTGTTTCTATGCAAATATACGCAAATTAGTAATCGTATGGTACGATTATGAAAGATCAGTCCCCGTCGGATGATCAAGGTCGACTAAATGTTCCGATATTAGTGTTTAATTACATGAAGACGCGCAAGTACGGCATTGTAGCACAATTCCTGAGCTACAGTCGGTTGGGACAAGCTACTGTTAGTTGCGAGGTATGAGCCAGTCTAATATGATCCTGATTTATCGCTTACAAATAGTTATGCAATTGAAGCCTCGGGTTTGTCCCTGGAAACTTCACTTACTCGTAGAAAAGATGACCGGGGTACTGACCGACAAAGAAGGTTCACTGATTTCCCAAACAAAAGCGAGGCGTTGATTTTTTAAAGGTGTTTGCAAAGAGTTACAAGACAGTGAGAGTACCGAATTGCTACAGTAGTACGCTCGCAAGCTACTGAGAACGAGACTGATACGGCTATCCTCTATAGTCCAGCAACATTTGAATAGCTGATGAAAGTATATTCCGATTTGGTGATAAGATGTGCATCATAAAATTTTTCTGATCTTTCGAGCCAAACATTGATCACACGATATTGGTACATGCCATCTTAAAAGTGTGACGTCGTGTATACTTTAACGGCTTTGGTAAGAGTCGATTAACATTCTACTTGTCGCCGACTTTATCTGTCGAAAACGCTAAGGCAGGCCGAAATTTGTGCGTGCGTACAACAAGCTAATATTGTGGTAGAGACGCATATCATCAAATACGACGTGCTAATGTGCTTAATGGTCTCTTTCAATTTGTTCAGTACTCCAAACCTGTTTCCTGAATAATTAACCAAGCACGCAGGAAACTGACAAATTTCTTACTACAGCCAAAACTACGAGGCGGGGTTGCTCTAAGGACAGCAAGTTATGGCCCCAGACTTAGGTAAGATTGTGCCGATGCATATAATAGTTTCGACGATGTACATATTCAAAGTCGTGTAGATCACGTGGAGTCGTATGTGAGCGCCAACATTAACCATTTGGAAGCCGTGCCCCAATGTACGCGTGTGAACAAATTGTTCGCAAACAAAGACAGGTTTGACTTTGATCTCAACGATCGTCACGTCAGGGACATTTCATTGAGTGACATAGAATACGAACATCCCGCGTAATTTAAGGTCACTATAAATAGGCCAGAGCCGTTGTGTTTTTCAAGAGGCTTGGCTAGACCAACTACTCACACAATGATAGAACGATCAATGACAGCAATGGCTAGATCTTGCAACATGTTTCTTAGAATCTGTCACATAGCGCTGAAGTGTGGTAGAAGATGTGGCCTTTAAGACCGTGCTAGAAGGTCTCTACATATCACAAGTCTGGCTCTTTCAAACCCGGATCAAACTTTTTATGCAGTCTGTGACTTTTCAAAGGTGTGCACTACTTTAGGCAAATGGTGGCATACATTACTGCTTCAAAATGCGCTTGTGTCACGAGGTCAAAGCGACAGAGAAGAGCTATGCCTGGAAAGTTTTCTGATTTTTTTCTCAAGACGAGTTTGACCTTTTGCCGTAGATAAAAAGAAGGTAGCCACAACTAACGGATTTTTACGAATAGAAGACCTTCTACTATTACAAGCCCTTATCGAATTTTCGACAATGTTCTTGAAATAAAAGAACGCTTCGATTAAAAGACCTCTTCAAATAAAAGGCCGCTGTAAACCCCTTAGCATTGGGCCGTTATTTTAAAATCGGCCATGCGTCAAGCAGTTAAGCTCGGAAAGGCGATCAAGTGGATCAGCGAGCTAGGTGTTGCGTGCCGAGTCGCGCGGCGCCTCACTTTCGCAAGAAAGGGTGGAGTGTTGATGC